CTGGTGGGTTTGAACCTCCAACCTTTCAGTTAGTAGCCAAATTCTTAATCATTGTGAGACCAAACCAAAACCAAACTCACTGCCATTGAGTCAATTCTGACTCATAGCAACCCCCATTGGGTTTCCAAGGCTATAAATCTTTATGGAAACAGGCTGCTCCATCTTTCTTCCATGGCGTATCTGGTGGGTTCAAACCACTGACCTTTTGGTTAGCAGCCAAATACCTTAACCACTATACCATCATGGTTCTTTAAAGATTGTGTTGTTGTTGTTATGTGCCATCGAGTCGGACCCGACTCACAGTGACCTCTCCTTAGGTTTCCGAGGCAGTATCACTACGAAAGTAGATTGCCCAACCTTCCTTCTGAGGAGTGGCTGGTGGATTTGATTCGCCAGCCTTCTGGTTAGCAGTCAAGTGCCTTAGGCACTGTGCTACCAGAGCTCCTAAAGATTGTGTTAGGGAAGATTGAATTTAAAACAATTGCTGGCCCCACACAAATATATTTAGCCTGCATTTGTCACAATGCTCACAAGTTTAACATTCACAGTTCTCTTCACCCAATCTATGAGAACTGGTAAGAGGCTATCCAATCCATGATGCTAAGTCCTGTGTCATTTTGCTAAGGAAAGAGTAAGGGAACTACACAGTTAATGACTGAGCCCAGCCAATCACCTAGCATGAGGATGCTCGCTGGGTTATTTCTCTACAGCAGCTCTAGTGAAGTGATCGGACTTTGCTTTATTGGGAGAAGTATATCTCTGCCAAAAATTCCATTATTACTCCTGGCCTTGAAAGTAAATATAACAAAATCATACTAAGAAAGTGATAGTTCTAGAACACAGGAATTGTATAAGCATTTAAAATAATCCAAAATGCATTAATTTTTTTAAAATTTCAAGAGGAGAACTCAGCAGGGATGCAGTGGGTGTGTTCACCATTCACTCTATAAAGAAAGAAGAAAGTGTTGATTGACAAGTCGTTTCAGGAAGTGTCCCCACCGCAGCAAACTTTGTACTTCCTTAGGAGAAATGAGGTGTTACAGAGACATCCGATTGTGGTGATTTGTAACACTTTTAAGGAATGGTCTTCCAGATGGAAATATTTCACTGCATAACTGAAGAGAGAATCAGAAGTCCGTGGAAATCACTTCTTTAAATGAGATATTCTAGACTTAAAAATATTTCCAGATACTATCTCTTCAGGCCAA